TTAGAGACCTCTGAGTAAGTCAGGGATTTAAGAACTCAGCTGTTCATATTAGCCTCTGCTCTTAAAATACAGTTGTTTAGGAATTGAACTAAGCATGTAAATTTTAGCTAACAGCTATCATATTTTACAATCTCTCTAGAATTTATTTATACATATTTGAACAAATTCACAGATGTACTCATGGGGAAATAAAATAATTGATGTTGTTTATAAATTTTGTTTTTATTTTTGAGGAGTTTTTTGCCTAATATGTCATTATTATAGAATATTTCTATTGTTCATTCAACAAATACTTATTATGAGCCTGCTAAGGGCCAGGCACAATGCAGTATAATAAGTACTCTTCAAACTTATATGGTTCTTGTCTTCAATGGCCTTACCCTTCCTATCATAGATAGTGACAGGAAATAGATATATAAAGAAATAATTTTAAAATTAAATATTGAGGTGGGTAGAATAATGGTTTCTCCCCCCTCAAAGATGTCGACATCTTAATCCTTAGTACCTATAAATATGATATCTTACATGGCAAAAAAGATTTTGTAGATATGATCAAATTTAAGGACTTTGAGATGGGAAAATGAACCTGGATTATCTCAGTGGACTAAACTTAATCACACGGGTCCTTAAAAACAGAAAACCTTCCCCTGTTATTGTCAGAGGAAAAAGTTAACTACCGAAGGATGGTCTGAGAGTTGCATTGTTGCTGGATTTGAAGGTGGAGGAACGGGACTAGGAGCCAAGCAAGATGGACACCCTCTAGCAGCTAGAAAAAGTAAAGAAATGTTTCTCTACTTGAGCCTCCAGAAAGAAACCAGCCTGCCAATTTTGACTTATAACCTGCAAAACACGTTAGAAAAAAGTGACACATTTGTGTCATTTTAAGTCACTAAGTCTGTAGTAATTTCATATGGCAGCAATAGAAAGCTAATTCAAATATAATAAATTCTCTTTACTTAAGGTCTGTCTATGGAGAAATAGTTCTTCTATTTCTCCTAAAGTTTTAAGAATTACTTTCCAAAGTTGTATCAGAAGAGCTTCAAAGAATTTTCCCCAGAAGACACTCAAAAGTCATCATTCCAAAGTAGATTACATGCCCTTTCCAAGGCCAGCTTCTCATAACGGCAGGGGATTACTCTTAGACTTGTCATCTCTGAAGCTACAAATGGGGTTTTCCTCAGGTAAAGAATGTGGGCTAGATTAAGGTTTGGACTGGATTAAGGATTACGGAAAGGAGTGAGTGGATCTTAATAATATCCACAACAAAACATACTGATAATTCCATAAAAATCTATAATTGCTTTGAGATTACAATTATAAATTATACTTTGGAAAAAATAAGTCCATCTTTTTGTTTGGCAAGAAGTGGAGCAGGTAGAAAGTCTATCAAGATATTGCTGTAAAGCTTGGCAGTCACAAGATAAATTCTTCATTTATTCAACAAATATTTACTGATACAGAAAACACTGCAGTGAGATTGACTGTAATGTCAGTGATTTAAGAATGTTGCCTGTTTTCTTTTCCCAGGGTTATTTGAACCTTTATCCAGTTCTTTGCTGAATATCATTGATGTTCCCACAGAACTTTATTTGTGAAGATATGCCACTTTTAGGCATTTTTCTAGTGACTTTACCTTTTTCTTCTCCTTCAGATTGCCCAGATTAAGAAATGCTTCAGCATGGTGGCAGATTTTTAGTAATTATTTTATCTGGTTGATAGGTACTTAGGGGTTCATTGTACTATTTTCTCTAATTTTGTGTTTGAAATTTTTCATATTAAAAAAAAGAAGAAGAAGAACAAGCAGGCTGCCGCAGCCACAGCACCCCCAGGCCAGTCTTTCTGGGCCTCCCATTTCTAGTCCCCATCCCCCTAGCTGCTCCCCGGATCTCACACTGCTGCCTCTCCACCTGGCCTCGAGGAGTTAACTGAGCAATGCAACACCTACTTCTTCCCCTGAAAAACCCACAAACAGTTTGTAGAAGAATTTAAAGTGAATCTTCAGAAAGAACTGTTTTAGATTAAGGTACTTGCTTTGTACTAAAACCACAAATATACTGAAAAAGTTTTTAAAAGCTTCAGTAACAGCAGAAAACCCCCAAGTACAATAAGTGCATAGGTTAAAAGAAATTAGAGGTGATAAAAAAGAAAAAAAAAAAGCTAAATAAAAAAATAAAGAGGCCAAAAATGATACCAGCAGTGCTAGACATTGGAGTAGAAGAGAAACTTGAGGGACCAGAAGAATTACAAATTAAATCAAGAACTCTTTGAGTTCTATCCTAAAGAAAAGAAAGCCTTATCTCAGGTAAGACTAAGATTTTTGTTTTTCTTTTTTAATATAGTGTATTATCGTGGAGCACATTAAAAAGTATGAGAAGCTAAGAAACATAAAATTGATCACAGCACATCAGTGAAGGAAAATATAGTTCAGAAGTTAAAATACAAAAAATAAGGAAAGGTTAACAAATAAATTATAATTCACGAGTATAATTCACGAGTATATTATCAATATCAAAAAGGATTCATATACATCCCATTTTATGGATTAGAAAACTGAAGCTCAGGAAACTGAAGTAGTTTGATCAAGGTCAGTCAGTTTAAGTGTTGGGAACCTAGATTTGAACTCTCCAGATATCTCAACAACATTTTGCTTTTCTCATTCTTTTTTTGGTAGAAATTACAATTCAAAAGTAATTTATTAAATTATATGTATATATTAACTCAAAAATAATTCTGGCTTAAATTTACATACATTTAACAATGATGCCCCACTGAGTCTCATTTTTTCATTACATCAATGATACTGTGTACCCAAAATAAATTGCTGTTATATGGGAAAACACTGCCTTAAAGTGAAACACTTTAAGTGAAACCCTTCAGTGAAACACTGAAAATCATTTTGTCTGACTGTTGCACATAGAAGTTAGATTTTTGCATTTTTTCCTTATATATGTAAACTATTATGTAGAATAAAAAGTAAGGCATTTTTAAATGAAAAAATATTTTTAGTTATTTACTTATTGATTACTGGAATGATTAAGTTTTGGTTTCTAATAAAGGAATCTAAGTTTGATTCATGTGTTTGAAGTGTGTCTCAAGTTAATTAACTACTTTCTGGCCTAGACAGCCTACTTAGTAGCTTTTAATACTTACTTGTTATTATATGAAACGCTATACCCAAAGTCTTCTTTTTAAACATGAGTAATTTTCTATCTTTCACCTACTATGAGCAAGTATATGTTCAATAAATAATTACTGATTTTTATCATCACGCCTAAAAGAGATCAGGTTTAATAAATTATAATTACAACTATGTCACTGTGACATAGTTTTTCTTTTGTGACCAAATTAGGCGCTAGTGAAAAGAGAGAAACTATAGCAATTATTTTAGCAAAGATAAGTTAATACAAAGAATTGTTAAGCAGGCATTGAAGAACAGGAAAGGCAAAAACATGGAGGCAGTGATAGTCAAAAGATGTAAAAAATACCAGCATGATAAGCATTACCTGGAAACGTTAGAAGTGCAAATTCTCAGACTCCAAGCCCCTATTGTGGCTTACTGAATCAGAAACCCTGGCAGTGGGCTTTCAAAGCCCTCCAAGGAGTCTAACATAAAAGTGTAAAAACCACTGCACTAAAGTAGGCTAGAGTGCCACAGATAGTAACACCAGGAAGCAGCCACCACTCCTGGGCCTGAGGAAGCAGAGAAGAGAGAGAATTACTCAAACTGAGAACACTGGGGTAGGCCCCATCACATGCAGCTGAAACTCAGACTTCGAAGAACCAATCGCTGCTCGCTGGTACTGGTGTTTCTGAGCTCAAAGGAGGAACACCATAGACCCTGGAAACCAGAAACCTGAGGGAAAGGAACCCACAGGTTTGATCTGGTGTCTTGGGAAGGCACATTAAGATAGTTTCTGCAGGTGTTGGGAAGTCACTAAACTGAAATCAGTGGCTGCTGCCAGAAGGACCTACTACCGCCAGAGTGAACTGTCACTGGAGTGAGACTGAGAGGCTCAAGAAACCCATAAGCGGCGAACAAGAAAGAGCAAGTCCCTTCCTCCTCCTCTTGCTGTGCAGTGTCTCTGGTTCTTCTACTGGCAGAGCCTAACAGGGAGCCAGATGTCTTCGTAGAATTTCACAGAGTGGGGTTGAAGCTGAGAGATAGTAGCTTAGTATCTGTCTACTAGAGATAGTAGTATAAAGACCCTAATTGTAGTAAGACTGAGAGGTAATAGAAATAGTACATAATTTTTGGTATGTGTAATTGGGTACACACGGGCATTTTCTGGGGAACTGATACCTAGGTAAACTTTTAGGCTTATTATACAAAACTATTCCTCTGTGGAAGTTTCTCCTGATGTGGTTAATAAGCATTTAGGACATCAAGGACCTACACTGAATTCTTCTTAGCTTCCCAGCCAAAATCGAAAGATCACAGCCATAATAGCTGAGAATTGTTCAACAGTAGCAGCAAGCTCTGTTCCAGAGAGATGAGACTGGGTCCTTGAAGTATTAGTGTCAAAGGAATGGACTAAAAAGAAGCTTACTTATAGCAGGACAGAGCAATCCAGAGCCTGCCTCAGAACAGGAGATTGGTATAAAAAGGTTGTTCTGTAATCACAGTCATTGATAAGAACAATACGAACATGATTTTTCACTTAATAAGTTTTGTGCAATTCCAGGGAACTAGAAAATGAATGGAAATGATCAGCTACTTCATCTTGTAAATCAGTGTTCTAGTAGTTGAGTGTCCAGTCAATGTCAAAGCCACACAAATCAATAAACCAGTGCTTTCCATATTCTTGAAAGGTGATCACAGTCACAGCTGTTCTGAGTGACAATCAAAAGGAACATCCCCAGGTATTATTGAATGGTTATCAGAAGTATGCCCAGTACATACTCTGGAAGATAAAGAACTATGAAATGGTCATTACTCTTAAAAGACCTTCACCTGTTTCTCATTTTATGTTTATATTTTGTCTTGTTTTTGTTTTCCAAAGGATATTGAAGAATCACAAAACCACACTGGCGAGCCTGTTGGAGATGACTACAAAAGGATGGGGACACTTTTTGGTGAACTGAACAAAAGCCTCGTCAACATGGGCTTCACAAGGATGTATTTTGGAGAACAAATTGTAGAACCAGTAATAGTCATCTTCTTTTGGGTTATGCTGTGGTTCCTTGGCCTACCAGCCCTTGGACTAGTTGCTATTCTTTGCCTTGTCATTATTTATGTGCAGCAGTAAAATATGGCCAAATGAACTATCATTTGACATTTGGTAGCCAGATACATAATTAGTGAAGTTATATATTTCACTACATAAAGGCTGAAAAGTTTGCCTTGTTTCAAATTGTGTGTTGTTGTTTTGCAAGTAAATTTGTAGGTTGATGTTTAAAATTAAATTCACTCGATTTTAAGAGGGTTGAACATATATATAGTAGCTTATTCATAACTCTTGTTTCACTACTGAGATCTGTGCCCACTTTTAAATACTCCTATTCCCATGCCAAACCTTAAATAACACCAAAAAGTGAGCAGGGAAAATAGGGTATAAAATTCAAATTAGACAATATAGATCTTGTAAAAGCTCTAATAAAACATTTTAGAAGAAAAAGCATGAAACAAGGAGCAAAAAATTTTAACTGGAGAATTGCTCCTCACTTATCCCAACCAAATAAATCCATATTTTCTGGGAAATAACTTGAGTTTCCATTGTCCCTGCTCAGCCAAAACTAATGTAAATGACAGCTTCTATACACTACCTTAATATTTTGATGAAAATCAGTAAAGCTAGCACATTTTCTAAAAATTGAAAAGAAATATATTTATTATAACTGAGGAAACTTCCAAAGTTAAATGTAACTTTTTTATAATGTAATACTTGGGCTTGAAATCACTTTAGTATATCATTTGGAGTTTTAGACAATTTTGGTGCTAATCAGTTTTTGTGAATTTTTAAAGTTTCATAAGCCAGGTCCATAGTTGACTGTATCCCATAGTAATGAATATTTTCCTTGTATTTTTTCCTAGATAAACATTTTCAGTGTATTTTTTTCAGAAATTTACATTTTTATAATTCTTTTATAGCAATTAGTCTAAGATTTTAAAAATCTATTTCCTATCTTGACATGGATTTTCCCCCCAAAATTGATTTGTATTATGGCTAAAATTCTTTATTATTCTTTTTTTTTTAAGAAAAAGCTCATTTTCTTTAATATCTGTATTAGAAAGTACAGTATTACAATATAAAACCAAATGCTTAAATTTGGAACTCAGCAGCCAATTGTATCATATTCCTCTGATGCTAAAGTCAAGTCAATAATTGGCCAGGCATGTTATTAATGTGTCTTATTTCAACACTTTGGGGTTTTATATTGAAAAATAGCATTTCTTTAAACATATTTAGAAAATGAAAAATGTCTTACTGATATTTTGGATTTTGTTAAAAAATCTAAAATCTTTACACTTTGGTCTAAAAAATTTTCTATGTAGACAAAGGATAGGTAGTTGAGATAATTATCTAGAAATTTCAGTTAAATAGAGGAAGACAGAGCAATGGGTCATTTTTATCTTTGGCAGGGTAATAACTAAAGTGTGTAAAATGTTTACTGTTCTACTTTATAAAGTTTTTACCCAGTGCTGTTTTTAAAATTTATTCTGTATGTTCTCAGTGTCTTCTATCCTGAAGCAGAAAAATGATGAAAATGTTCAATTTAGATTTCTAAAGTTAGATTATCCTGAATAACAGTACCAATCAGAGGGCACTAAAAAATATTATTCCTTTGTGTAAATACAGATCTTTTAAAGGTTGACTTTGAAAAAAGACTTTGTACTCTATCATTGTGTTTTTACTGGGTTTGCAATATTTTTAATGGTAACCTTTATGAACCTGGCATAAGTGCAAGTTATTTGAAAAGGTGTCGTTATTCATGTCCAGTAGAGTTGCAAGGTTTTCAGTAGAAGTCATGAGATTTTGTATATCTGCATTCAATATTAAAAAGTGTATTTCTTTGTAATACTACTAGAAGTTTTAATTTCCTTTTGGAATGTAAAAAAGAAAGAGTATGCATAATAATAGCTCTGGTTCCACCAGTGCCTAATATTTTTAAAAGTAATTTTTAATTGTCAAATACTATGCATCTGTACACTGCTGTTAATAGGATGTATATTAAATTCTATAAAGAAGTGAGATATTTTGATGCTATCTTTTCTGCATATGTTATAAGAGCATACCAACAAATCATTTGCTTTAATAGGGAAAAAACAAACTTTGCTCATTTGATGGAAATAAAGTATTTTTTTTTATGAAATATATTAGAATGCAAATTATACTGATGTCTTGAAATAAAAAGAAACTGGTCATTTCTTTGGTTCATGGTATAAGGAATTAATTCAAAAACATTCTCAATCATTTCAATCTCAGATACAAGCCAATTTTAGAAACTACTATTGCTATGAATAAAGAGAAATTATAGTGCTACATTATTAGATTTGTGTATGTATATATCACTCATACCTCAATACAAAAGGAAAAGGTCAAGACCTATAAGTAAACTGACTGTAGATGAATAAATCCATTTTCACTAAAGGAAAAACTAAGTTTTGTAGAATTCAGTTGTCTCATATGCTGAACTGTTATATACAAGGTATTTTTCCATTCCTGGCCACCAGTCAGATCATTCTTAGTTCACTCGTGTGCTAGAGCCAGCTTACACTGGCTTGCAAAAGCCAACTGTATACATTTAATCCTTTGCCTTCAGTGACATCAAGTTGGTAGCCTGACACTGAATATGAGGGGAGTATTTACACTATAAAAATTGGCAAACACAACAAATCAGGGCTCTTTTTTTGTGGGAAGCCAGTTGTTAAACAGGTATCATTAGCGCATCACTGATTAGCCACTCTAGAGGCCACATTTCCATTTCTGCTCCTACAAACATAAAGGAAGCATATCAAGGCAAATTCCCACAGACCCATCCAAAATTGCATTTGAATCTTTTCCATGTGGGAACTATGGACCATAGTTGTCTTCTGACCAAAGTGTGTCTCTATTTAATCACATGTTTTGATCAGAGAAAATCTTTCTGGGCTGTCACTAAGCTGCCAATCCATTAAAGACTATCCAACTGATCAGGAAATAAAGTTATGAAACTGAGAGAGGGCAAATTACAGCATCGGGTCTGTTGTAAAGTATTAAGCTCAAAATAATCAAAGCTAGGTATTGAGCAATCAAGCGCTATTTGTCTGGTTTGTGATTCTATAATTACATATTTTAGTTATTCTTTTAATAATAATTTTAGTTATTTTACAAATGTTTATTGATTTCAGTTTATTTTAGAAGTTTTCATTGTGAATTAATGGCTTGACAGGGTGAAAGAAGAATTTTAAAAATCAGACTTTCATACCTGTTAGTACCTCTAGTACTAGAATTGGCCAAGGAGAATATAAACTAATGTACAAACTGTGGCTTCAGGATTATTGCTGGACTGAATATTTTCTAAGTCCTATTTCTCTGCCATACAGTTGTGTTCATTTCACATGCTAGTAAGGTTAACAGTCAAAATCCTTCAAGCTCGGCTTTAGCAGTACGTGAACCAACAACTTCCAGATGTACAAGCTGGATTTAGAAAAGGCAGAGGAACCAGAGATCAAATTGCCAACATCCACTGGATCACAGAAAAAACAAGGGAATTCCAGAAAAACATTTACTTCATTGACTACACTAAAGCTTTTGACAATGTGGATCACAACAAACTGGAAAATTCTTCAAGAGATTGGAATACCAGACCACCTTAGCTGTCTCCTGCGAAACCTGTATGCAGTTCAAGAAGCAACAGTTAGAACCAGACATGGAATAATGAACTGGTTAAAAACTGAGAAAGGAGTACATCAAGGCTGTATACTGTCACCCTGCTTATTTAACTTCTATGCAGAGTACATCATGAGAAACGCTGGGCTGGATGAAGCACAAGCTGGAATCAAGATTGCTGGGAGAAATATCAACAACCTCAGATATGCAGATGACACCACTCTAATTGCAGAAAGTGAAGAGGAACTGAAGAGCCTCTTGATGAGGGTGAAAGAGGAGAGTGAAACGGATGGTTTAAAACTCAGCATTCAGAAAACTAAGATCATGACATCTGGTCTTATCATTTCATGGCAAACAGATGGGGGGAAAATGGAAACAGACTGATTTTATTTTCTTGGGCTCCAAAAAATCACTGCAGATGATGACTGCAGCCATGAAATTAGAATACACTTGCTCCTTGGAAGGAAAGCTATGACAAACCTAGACAGTATATTAAAAAGCAGAAACATCACTTTGCCAGCAAAGGTCTGTATAGTCAAAGCTATGGTTTTTCCAGTAGTCATATATGGATGTGAGAGTTGGACCATAAAGAAGGCTGAGTGCCAAAGAATTGATGCTTTTGAACTGGGGTTGAAGAAGACTCTTGAGAGTCCCTTGAACTGCAAGGAGATCAAACCAGTCAATCCTAAGGGAAATCAACCCTGAATATTCATTGGAAGCTCTGATGCTGAAGCTGAAACTCCAATACATCAGCCACCTGATGGGAAAAGCTGACTCATTGGAAAAGACCCTGATGCTGGGAAAGATGGAAGGCAAGAGGAGAAAGGGGTGGCAGATGGCTGGATGGCATCATTGACACAATGGACATGAGTTTGAGCAAACTCAGGAAGATAGTGAAGGACAGGGAAGCCTGATGTGTTGCAGTCCATGGTGACGAAAAGAGTCAGACACGACTTAGTGACTAAACAATAACAATTTCTCTGCCCAACCCTTAATTTTTGATGTTCCAGACTGTTCTTTCACCAGTCTACACATTACCTTGGGCAATACCACCACGCCCATGGCTTCACTTACCATTTCATACTAACAGCTCTCCAGTCTGCACCTCCATTTCAGAGTTCTATGCAGAATATTAGATTCATACATTCAACTGCTTGCCCAACATCTATCTGTTCTTGCTTATCCCTTAGTACCCAAACTATAACATGTCCAGAAAAGGAACTCGGCATCTTTTTCCCAAACATTTTCCTCTTCTGTGTTTCTAGTCTTAGCACAGCCCACATGTAACCTATCACTCTTTCACCTTGTTCTTTTACCTCCTAGAAAGTGAAAGTGAAAGTTAGTCTCACAGTCGTGTCTGACTTTTTGTGATCCCATAGACTGTAGCCTGCCAGGCTCCTCTGTGGAATTCTCCAGGCAATAGTACTGGAGTGGGT